GCGAGACCCAAACTGAGAGATGCTGGTTATGGCGTTGCAAATGATTTGACTAACCGGCAGCGACAGCAAATCAAGGACTTAAAGGGCACCGGTATGCGAGGCTACTTTAAAAATGGGCGGCTTGTAACCGAGCTCATACCAGATCGAGTGACTATGTCCGACACGGCGACTCGACGTCGTAATACCAGGTCAAATGCTCGGAATCAGACTGCTTGAGATGTTGGCCGGGCCCCGGACACTTTCTCAGAGGATACAGATTCACTGTACACCGATTTCAATAGCCAAAATGAAATTGACAATCGTTTTTCTCGTTTTTTTATGCTGGAATGTTCGTAGGTTGTTTAGTAAGCTGTCAAATGACAAGTTTAATTCGTATTTGGAAACATTTGACATTATTTGTTTATTTGAAACGTTTCTTGACTCAGTCGACTTCGATTGGTTACCTGGTTTTAAAGTCTTCTACTCCCCGGCGGTAAAGCTGTCCGGTCGTGGGAGAAAATGTGGTGGTGTTTGTTTTGCCATTAGAAATGAGTTTGCTCAGTTTTGTAATGTATTTAATAGTAATTCGGGTATTGATAATTTCTTGTCAATTATATTGAAGAAAAACCTCTTTGGAACGCCAAAAGATGTATTGTTTTGCCCCTTGTACATACCAGCAGAAAATTCTACATACTATGACAAACATCAAAATATTAACATATATGATAAACTCGATGAATTCTTTCTTGATAGAGCAGACCGTCTCTCTGATTACACTGTGCTTCTCTGCGGAGATTTTAACTCTAGAACAGGTTGTGAAAATAATTTAGTTGATCAAGAATCGACCACAAATGATCCCGATATTTTCCCTGAAGTTGACATTGTAGATGCATGTATATCACGACGGTCTTCGCTTGACAATGTTATTAATAAGTTTGGACGATTTCTAATTAATTTCTGTTGTTTTCAACTTGTTCATACTAAATGGCAGAGTTAATGGCGACATGAATGGTGAATATACATTCATTAGTGGTAATGGTAGTAGTACTATTGATTATTTTATTGCCTCATCTGATTTCTACGAGTTTGTTTATAATCTTACAGTTGGCGAGAGTCTTGACTCGGACCACTGGCCTCTTGAACTGAGTTGTTCATTTCCACGAGAAAACACAAATAAATTTGCACAATGTAATAGTACTAACTCGGCAGATAGATTTGTATGGAATGAATTGCATAAAGATGAATTTGTACACTGTCTTAGTGATCGTTTTGCTGAAACTTCACAGACTCTTCTGACTACGCTAAACACTAACATAAACGATGCAGTTGATCTTTTTGTAAATCTACTACTTGAGTCAGGGCAGTGTATGAAAAAAACAGTTCTTGGAAATAAACCACGTAAATATATTTTAAATTTAAACAGCGAGTGTAGAGAACATAGGAGATCAGTAAGACGAGCGCTAAGAAAGTTCCGTAAAAATAGATCTGAATCTAATAGGAAAACTTATTGTCAGTTACGCAACAAATATAAAACAAAATGTAAAAGCTATTTAAAATCCCTTAAACTTACCAAATTAAATCGTCTAAATGCCTCATTATCAAACCCAAAACGGTTCTGGAGAGAAATTAATTCTCTACGCAGTCCATCATCTGTTCAGAATAATATCACAGGCACAGAGTGGCTGACTCATTTTAAGCATGTGTTTGGTAATGATCTTATATTCCATGATGTTATTGAAAATGAGCATGACGATATTGCTGTTTATAACCCATCAGATGTTGAGTTTGACATTCTTGAGTCCGAAATAACAAGAAAGGAAATTCTCGATGCTATTGACTCACTTAAACCTGGAAAATCTCCAGGCCCTGACAATATCTTAGCGGATATGCTGAAGAGTTCCAAACATATAACTGTTCCATTTTTGCATTCTCTCTTTAACGACATATTCAACAAAGGTATATTTCCGTCAATTTGGTCAAAATCTATCATTGTTCCTCTATTTAAGAAGGGTGATACAAGCGATCCTGATAATTATAGAGCAATTTCATTGACAAGTATTTTAGGTAAAGTTTTTGCTATAGTTTTAAACAAGCGTTTAACGCTCTGGTCTAATGTTTATGATAAAATTCCAGAAAATCAGGCAGGCTTCAGACGATCATATTCACCTATCGACCATATTTTTACACTTTATTCTATTGTACAAAAATATCTTGGATGCCGGAAACGAAAACTGTATGTTGCATTTGTGGACTTCAAGAAAGCTTTTGATAGCGTTAATCGTTGTAAACTTTGGGATTGTTTGAGAAAAACGGGCGTTGGGGGTAAAATATATAAAATGTTAAAATCTATATATGCAAATGTCAAATCATGTGTTCGTCACAAAAATGGTGTCACTGATTACTTTGATTGCCCTATCGGTGTGAAACAAGGCTGCATTTTAAGCCCTCTCCTTTTCTCTTTCTTTATCAACGAATTGTCCCTTGAAATCCAACAAAACGGAAAACACGGTGTCCAACTTAATCCAGATATGTATGAATTGCTAATATTACTTTTCGCAGACGATGTTATACTTATTTCTGATACTGTTAATGGGCTTCAAACACAAATAGACATATTGTTTCAGTATTCCATCTCCTGGAAACTGACTGTTAATACAGATAAAACGAAAATTGTTGTTTTTAGAAAGGGGGGTCCTCTTGCATCCAGGGAAAAATGGTATATAAATGGGCAACAAATTAATGTTGCAAAAACTTATAAATACCTTGGTGTCATTTTTCCTTTTAATCTGAAACTAAATCACCTCGTCAACGATCTTGCGCTACGAGCTAAGAGAGCCCTCATTACCTTATTTGTTGTTCTTGATAAACTCGGTGTGTCTTCCCCGTCTGTTTTCTTCAAACTTTTTGATTCTCAAGTTAAACCAATTCTGTTATATGGTTCAGAGATTTGGGGTCTCGAAAAATATCACATCTTGGAAAAAATTCACTTAACTGCTTGTAAAAGATTCTCAAATGTTGGCAAATCTACCCCAAATTGTATGGTGTATGGTGAATGTGGAAGACATCCCTTATATATCTGTTCTTATGTACGCGGTCTAAAATATTGGTTAAAGATTACAGAAATATCACCTGATTGTATTCCACGTAAATGTTATGAAATGCTGAAATACCGCGACAATGTTGGTTATATAACATGGATCACTAAAATCAGACAACTTTTATTTCTTCATGGATTTGGATATGTTTGGATTTACCAAGGTGTTGGAGATAAGACAGCATTTCTTAGTGTATTTAAACAAGTTGCATCTGATATGTTTATCCAAGAATGGAGAGCTACTTTGGAAAATAGTTCAAGATACGACCTTTATAAAACATTTAAATCCTGCTTATCTCCAGAACAGTACTTAACAGAAATAACAGACAGAAAACTTAGAGTGTGTTTTACACGTTTTAGATTAGGTTTGAACAATTTAGTATGTAATACGGGTCGTTTTTCCTCAGTTTAAAAAAATATGCGTTTTTGTCCTTTTTGCCCCACATTTATTGAAAACGAATACCATTTTATGCTTATCTGTCCATGTTATGAATCGCTCAGAATAAAATATTTCCAAGGTTTACCCCGAAACATCAATACACTAATCAAGCTCCTCTGTTTTGATGAAATATCTAACGAGCAACAAAAGAATACTATCCTATACATTAATTATGGTTTACGACTTCGCAACCGTCTTTGTACAAATGATGTTTAATTATTCTTTAGGTTATTTGCCTTCATTAATCAAATGCTTTTATCTCTTCTTGTTGTGTTGTGTTGCGACTTATTTTTCACAAAATTGTACACGTGCACATCTCTGTGCATATAAGTCTGCATGTTTATACTTCTACATGTACAAAATTGTATATATATAATGTTACTGTTTGTATATGGGCCTATGGCCAGAATACAATAAATGATGATGATGAAAACAACATATTTTGCAATGATATCAGGAGAAAAGAAATCATATTTTAGATCTTATGACTACAGTGCCAAAATGCATAATTTACAATTCGAAAATGTGAAACCTTACACGTAACTTCTTGCTGGATATAATAAATATGAAATATGAACAGATCAAAAGCACACTCAAACTGTAATCATTCAGAATTTTTTAAGTTATTATCTATGCCACTTAGTCTTTGTTTTTGACCTGAAGGCTCAAAATAACATTTTCCCCAATAATAAGTCATTATATATTTTTAATTGAAGTAAAATTTTAAAATGTATCTATTGATCAATTTTAATTAGATAAAAAATTCCACAAAATACTGTATTTACCATGTCATGTATATTATTACTATTTGTGTAAATCAAGAACATAATCTTCCCGAGGCAAAGACTTTAACTGACTATAAAAGTCCAGTTTCCAGCCTTGCCGAACTAGAATTATATTTTGGCTGGACTAACGAATCTAAGCATAGACCAATCAAAATCGCTTAACGAACCAGACATCCGGTTTGTAAACATCATGGATTTCAACCTGCAGATGCAATGCTTGTGTACCGCCAACTGTGCGTCGACAGATATTTTTATACATATTTGTTTTTAATCAAGGTCCTCAAGTGATTTGATTCACTCTGCGAGATAGGGCCCATTTATTACGATACAGATCTTGATTATTGATCAGGTCGTCTTATCTGGGCGCTACCATTTTGTTTGAAGCAATTGCAATTGATATGAAAGGTGGAATCTGATTGGTCAATGGAGGGGCCTAGAAGGGACACGACTCGTATTAGCCACTGAGGGCGCTACGATCGAGCCTAAAAATTCTAGCGTAGTTCGGCATGGGTGGAAACTGGACTTTCAACATCAGCTAACGGCCTCGTTTAGGGACGATGCAAGAACACATTATAAAACAGTCTGTCCTTTCTTAATCCGGACTTTATATGTATTATACAGAAAATACATCATAATTTGTTTCATGTTCATATCTTGTAAACGAAAACACATTGTAAATATTCTCGACACAACGTGCAACGAGTCAGAACTGAACCTCACACACAAACTTCAAGTTTTCGTTACAGGAATCATCATAATAGCAATTGAACGCTGGATCTCGTGTCGACGCGCACTCCTCATCATTTGGAAAATTTGGCTCACCGTCGCACCAGAGGGCAGAGTTGGAGAATGTCTTTCCGTTGATCCACTGCCATCCGTCACTGACTTTTGACGCTGCACACCAGTAGTAGCCATTGTCAGATTCATGTCCTGGAATTACCAACATAAATCATTCTCATACTAAGTAATTGTCTAGTCATTAATACTGTGCAAAGCACTATCGTTTAAGGTAATAACATTCCTTTCAACAGAATTTCAGATGAAACAGCGCGTAAACGTCATCGGACCGGATTTAACTATTTTCATGCCGCTGTGACATACACATTGAGCAGGATGTATTGCGAAAATGTCTTAAAACAACATTCTCAAATTCATAAGTACTTTTCTCATATCAGCAATATTCTAATTATATGATGACGGCTAGTAAATACTCGTCTATGAACCAGTGACCAGCTTATTTTACATTGAAACTTTGTAATCCGGAGTCGACTGTTTCAAATGTAGTTGTTTGGGTAAAAAAGGTTCCAGATTAACGATTTAGGGTATGTATTGATATCCCTTCATATTTTAAAACATAACATCTGGAAACATGGTTTTAGAAATTGGTGGATCGGGTCTTTCGCTGTAACATTTCTCACTGTGGCATCAACAGCTTTTACTTGTGTATTTAATTATATTTCTTTTTACATGTGCACTTAATGTTTGTTTACCATTGGTCGCCATGAAGTCCCGAAATTCATTCATCTTTGCCTGACTCTCAAGGGTAATCAAATCAGCATTGTCATCTCTACAGTGTGCTCTAGCGGAGTCCCAGTCCATCTTCTCGGTGACAACCTTGATGCATCGTCTTCCCAGACCACTGTATCCACTTGGGCAGAGAGCTGAAATTGTACTTTCGTATAATATCTTTTCAGTAAATTATTAATTAGTTTCATGTTTAACATAATTGTGATTTTTTATCAAGGCAGCTTAGGGACAGAAGTCCACACACTGACATACAGCGATTCAGATTATTTTCCTTGATAGGTCAGTATATCATTATGCTATATCACGTCTTATGTTATATCAGAATGAATTTCACATTTCACATGGGCCGAACATCGAAAAAAGTAACGTTGAATTTCTCTCTGCAGTGACCTCGTTGGTTTTATCGACGATCGTGTTCGATTTTTGGTGAAATATGTCAGTGTGCTCTCCAAAAGAGTATTTTTGATACTTGAAATGATGATATGATGAACAACCTACACATACAAAGCATACCATATAGACTCTTGTCTCTTCTTATGTATCGGTGGGATACAATACACGAGCCGAGACCTTCCGTTCGTTAAATAAATAGACATCTTGAGATTTGAGTAGACAAACAAACATATTGGGGTTGGCATTATTTGAATCAAACTTGCTTAGACCACCAACTGATTCGTGTCAAATCCTCCTCACATATAATTATGATTTATATAGTTATAGATTGCCAAATACAACGTACTTACCAAAAACAATCACTGAAGGGAATAGGGTAAAGTCATCAGTGGTTGACACCAACCTCTGGTAGATGACGCACTCCTCCGACATCGGTTTAAAGGATACAGACACACAGTCGCTATCTGCAGAGCAAATTCCAGCACATTCCCAAACACTGGAAACTGAAGCACGAACATCAGTCCAATTGTGTACAAGTCTGCCATCGAGATCTGGACGTCGAATATAAAACGAACGTCTTGTGATTGGTGCCGTCTGCATGGACCTACTGACAAAAACGTAGAAAAGTAGAGTATATATATACCAGGACATTGCAGAGCTGGATATCACGCCGAAGTCTATCAGTGAGTAAAGATATGTTTTCGCCTTCGGTGCCTTTTGTTCAACATTGTGAGGCCATGAACAAATTTTATGTTTTTCATTACTAAAAAGATATCGTAACAAGGTATTGATAAGTTCAACATTCGTCACCACTCGCCCCTTTCCGTAACCTGCGAGAAGACTCGTCCCCTATCGATGAATGGTATGTGCGAAAATACGACAAATCAATCAGAATGCGCGTAAGATTTCAAGTTCTTCGTCAAAGAATCCCTCAGAAATAATTTTTGATTTTACATATGTCTTGAATCTAAAAATATACCCAAGACACAGTTAAATGTGTTCAATCATACTGTATAACTTCCCATGTCCCGATGTGCTTTAAATTGCATCTGAAATATATATAATATATGGGGAAAGATACGTGAACCATTACGCAACGAGTTGACAATTGTTTTAGTTATGCCCGTTTGTGCTAAGAAGGAACACGGTCGCATAAATGGCCATGAGAGGGGCACAAGTCGCTATTCGGCTTTTCCCAGAATAACACGAGTTGGTCACGAATGATAAGTGTAATTTACGGTGGGCAGAAAACTCGTTTTGGGCGACCATATAACATTCTCGGCTGATAAGGTGAGACATAGCATGCAACCATTTGGTTTTGATTTGTCAGCATGGAAGCAACGTTACGTTAAAAAGCGGTCAGAAACAAAACGAATTGCTTACGCTGAAAAGAAAAATCGTTCACAATTCATGTTGCCAATATAATGGAGAGCGATGAGAAACAAATATTTAGCTTTCCATGGCCCAATGTGCGGATCGAAGTGCTATGGATACGCAAAGAGAAGTCAGTAACTATAGTCACGGCTGTGAACACAGATGCTCTCTGTTAGTGCAACAAGTTTAAAGCACTTAGTTTTATCTATAGCGACACACACACACAAAGAAATGAATATATAAAGTAACTGCCTCCCTACATTATCCTTGACCTAAGCTGTTTGCGGGCCGCTTAATAATTAATTACGTCCACTTAGTACCTTGCAAGTCAAATTGTTAATATATATATTTGGAATAACGTATGCCGATAGTGTCTGTTTGAGAAAGGATTTACAACGCCAAAACGCTGTAGCACTTGATCACATCGTTATGCATCATATACTGATGTGAATCCAATGGTACAAATAAACCTTATTATACCTACTGGTATATTGTAAAAGCTTGGAGTAATTGGGCCAACTATGTATACGGACATGTAAAAAGTGACGATGTAGACGATAAACAATGATTTTGACGGATACAGTCCTACAGCCCGTAACATGTCGTTCGGAATGCCCCGTATTAACCTTTCTCCGGTTACACGATTAGAAAACACATTCCAAACGTCACTTTCCCGATCTGGTAAGCGACGCTCTGATTGGTCGGATGAAAAGTCGTTCTGTAGTGGGATGTCCTCAGAAATTAGTTGAGCGGTAGCGATTACTAAGATCTGATTTTAATGATATTGGTCCATGGTTATCGCATGAAATGAATGGAAAACCATTGATTATGATTGGCTCTTGTGCCCCGGAACAATCCTGCAGAGCTGCAAAGAATGACCCAGAGTTTGAGGTGCTTTAGGACGGAAGAGCCCGGATGCCGAAGTTCCAACGTTTGATCAATTGGGTTGATGTTGGGACATAAAACTGACTAAAGCAGTACTCGGTGTTCTAAAAAGCCCCATTGACAAAAAAGCTGCGTGAATAGATAGTTTCCTACCCCACGAGGGTAACAATGCTAGTAAGAAAACCCCTGTTAGTCGACTTTGAAGACGGGTGAAACCGGCTCAGCCACTCCACTAAAATCAAAGATATTCATCGTGGTGGTAAGCTGCTGGTAACGTCTCAGTAGCACGTCTACAAACGCGACTCATTTCACCTGTTTCACCAAACGGCGGTCGGGTAGCCTAGTAATTAAAGCGTTCGCTCGTCACGCCGAAGACCCGGGTTCGATTCCCGACATGGGTACAATGTGTGAAGCCCATTTCTGGTGTCCCCCGCCATGATATTGCTGGAATATTGCTCAAAGAGGCGTAAAACCATACTCACTCTCTCACTCACTTAAACCTTCATCACTTTGAACTAACAGTCGTGATACTGTTCAAAGCTGCGGTAAACAAACATTCTCCTATGCTAAGAATCGAACCCGGCCCTATGGCTTGGCGACCGCAGATTGGGGGACATCTGCCAAAATATTAATGAATGTGTTAGTGAGTAATGTTTTACGCCACGTTTTGCAATATTCCAGCGAAATCTAAGCAGCAAACACCAAGAATGGGTTTCATACCTTCTTTGTACGAATGAAAAATGTCTAATCCAATATTGTGCACACTTTCTCACTTTTCAGGTGCGCACCTGTATTTCCTTACTACCAGCATTGTTTATGGGGATTAAAACCAACCATCTCTGTACATTCCTGATGGGGCATTTATCACTGAACGTGGTGACCACAGTGAGTGAGTGAGTTGGGTTACCGCCGCTTTTAACAGTATTCCAGTTATATCGCGGCGTGTCAGCTTAATGTGGGAGGAAAGCCCGAAGTGATGCAGGTCTCAGACGTTAACCACTTCGGTGAAACCCATGAGCACGGGTATGGTGCTGGCAAACCTAGAAACATAATCGTGGCGAACCGGGATTCGAACCCACAATCATAGGTTTCTGGCGTGCCCAAGGGACGCAACTCTGCACAGCGAATCGCGGCGCCTTAGACGACTGGGCCACCCGTGCCCCCTGGTGACCACAGAAATACATGTTGCTACATCTCATTGATCGGGACAATTTGTAAAAAATGAAAGCAAATCTCATCTGAAGTTTAACTGAGAAAACTATGTCTGAAATGATGGTCTTCCTCGTTGGTAATATATTTGTGCAATTTGGGGATAGGACATTTAGGCAAGAAGTTGCCACCCCCATGGACACCAATTGTGCTCCCATTGTTGCTGATATAACTAAAAGTTTAACTTCATTCAAGAAGTGTCCCGTTTTGACTTTGACCAGTTCTCCTCCATCATCAGAACATACTAGCTTTTAGCCACATCATACGTTTTATGTGAACCCGACTGTCGTAGACACACTCCTCCAACAATGGTGTTGTTACTCGTGCATAGCCATGAAATATGAAACTAAAAGGAAAATAGAATTTTCATGAGAAATAATCCTAGATGACATTTCGGGAACGTTTGGCCTCAGGGTATAGAGCATATCAATTCGTTGTGCAGAGTTGCGTCCCCTAGCCTTGACGAGATCCGTTGTCCATCTTTGTATATTTGACCATTGCAACCCTGTGTTTAGGTTTTCGGGGCACAGATGATCCAGTCGTCTAAGGTGCCGAATTTCGCTATCGTCCCCCGGGTTCGATTCCCAACAAGGGTACAGTGTGTGAAGCCAATTTCTGGTTTTCCCCGCCGTGATATTGCTGGAATATTGCTAAAAGGGGCGTAAAACCATACTCACTCACTCACTCACTCGATGCCCTGGATATATTTCTACGTTTTTATTAGATCTACAGCAGTGTTCGTTGGTTTCATCAAAGTGACAAACGTCAAAGACCTGCATCACAACGCTCTTTCCTCCCACAAACCAAACCCACTCACTCACTATGCTGTGATGCCAATGACAACAGGTTAACTGTCAGACACATCTTATTTACAAGTTTCTGAACAAATATTATTGTTTACTTTGAAAGGATTACTTTTTGACAATCGGTAAGGATAGAAGACATTACACACAGGACACCTACTGCAGTTACTAACGCACAAAAGCACAATATCAAGCTCTCTGTTATACTAACATAAACACATATCGCTGTTTTGAGCTTAAGTAACATGTGACATACTTGAGGCAGCACATGGGTTGATGCACACTGGTCGTAATTTTTTAGCGAAATTAATTTTACAAAATATGTCTCCTCCTTGATTCATAAATATTCAACTGACTGGACCAAAGGAAGTTAGAAAAATTAAAACCCAAAGAACAATATAAATATAAAATTTCCGGATGTCCAGATTTCATCAAAAATTGTAATCATTGTATTCTTTCCCTTTATCTGATTTAAAATAAATAGTTTTCTTTTCTTGCTGCTTTTGACATTTATGGAATTTAGGTATATAGTTCGACGAGGAAGAATGTTTAACAAGAGTCTCACCAATTCTATTTGCAATATCTGTGGTATCTGTTAATGATTCATCCCCATTTTTGACATGGTGGATGTTAGATTTTGAACCCTTACCTTTAAATTTCTGAATCTTGTTCCATAGACATGGGCGAACGTGAAGTTAGTTTTAAAACATAATTTCGCCAGGATTGGCGTTAATTTTGTTTAAATGTAAACCTGGCTTTAGCATTTAAAAATTTAAGTTTATTCAAATTATGCACATAGGATTGCTTTTTCCCGTGCCATCCTAGCTTGTTTGGAGTTATTGTTAAACCATGGTTTACGAATGTGTGGATTTTCAGAGATTCATCAGCGAATTTGTAAAGTTCATCTGAGAACACTTTTATTGAATCAGGAACATCAATACATCGAGCAGGATTTAATTTGCTCGTACAGAGTAATTTGGACAAAGGCCAATTAGCCCTAGTGTAGTTCCATCTTGATGATAGAGGAACATCAGTTGGAGGTATTGTTTTAAGAATAGTCTTTCACAGACTCGTCGTGGGCTAACTATTCGAATTCGTTTAGCAGATCTGAGGTTGTAAGTGATAATCAAGAGAAGAATTTGTGCCTGTGCCAGGATGTAA